ATGCTTTGTGTAAGGAGAAGGAGCAGGCAGTGGTGCGCCGAGCTGTAACGGGAGGCCAGTAGAAGACAGGAGGCTAAGAGCCTGGCGAAGCACGGAGTCAGGCGGTGGCAGAGACGACGGTGACGGCGGAGCGAAAAACTGTCGTGACGATGTAGTATCACCAGTACTAGTAGCTCCACCGCCACCAGCAGCTCCAGAAACTCCACCTCCAGCGCCTCCAGCTGCAGCACCTCCAGCTCCAGTGACTCCAGCAGCAGCACCTCCAGCTCCAGCTCCTCTAGCAGCTCGAGAACCTCCAGCTCCAGTGACTCCAGCAGCAGCACCTCCAGCTCCAGTGCCTCCAGCAGCTCCAGAACCTCCAGCTCCAGCGCCTCCAGCAGCACCACCTCCAGGGACTCCTGCAGCACTACCTCCAGCTCCAGCGCCTCCAGCAGCTCCAGAACCTCCAGCTCCAGTGCCACCAGTAGCAACACCCCCGGGGTCGGCACCTCCACCCTCAAGGTCCCCAACTCCAGGGTCGACAAGACCAGCGCCATGGCCTCCAGCAGCAGCACCCCCAGAACCGGCACCTCCAGCTCCAGGGTCTCCAACGCCAGGGTCGACAACACCAGCTCCAGAGCCTCCAGGCCAAGTACCTCCAGCAGCAGCACCCCCAGAGCCGACACCTCCAGCTCCAGGAGCAGTACCAGTCCCGACAGCTCCAGTACCTCCAATACGAGCACCTCCAGTACGAGCACCTCCAGGTTCAGAGTTACCAGCTCTCCCAGCGCCTCCACGACAAGCAGATCCAGCAGCATGACTCCTCAGGCGGGTACGCGACGCAAGCCACTCTTGTGCCTGCTGTGGTGAGACAGGCCCGCATCGTGAAACTAGACCCAGAGGAATGCCAACAGACTCAGCACCCCCTGGCTCCGCACCCCCGGCACCTTATGGACGGGCTCAGCACCCCCAGACTCCGTAGCCGCAGGCTCAGCACCCCCAGGCTCCGCACTCCCCAGCACCTCACGCGCAGGCTCAGCACCACCAGAAGCAGCACCCCCAGCAGCATCTCTCGCAGTAGCATCTGAGCCGCTAGTGGCCTCTACAGGCTCAGCCAAGGGGGGCGGGTCTACCTAAGACACACATGAAGGAGCAGGACCCTGAGGGGGGAGGGGGTCTACCTGAGGGGGACCAGGAGCGAGGAAAAGCGGTCGGGGAGGGAGAGGGGCAGTGCGATAGGGGAAGAGACAGTAGAAAGGAACCGACTCATCAAAGGTGACGTCCTAAGAGGGGAAGACACGGTGCGAGGTGGGGTGGTAAAACTGTCAGCCAGGCGCGTCAGGGACAAAGCCAAGGAAGACACAGGGAATGGTGCGGGAGGAGAGCTTGTCTGCGATCGTATTGCGGACAAGGGCACGAGCACCCAAGACCCAAAAACGCGACGCATCCCCAACCTCCCCCATCCAACGCATTTTGGGCGAGGTCTGACAAAATTAGAAGAAAGAAAAGAGGGTTGAACTAGCAAGAATGAGGATACAAATAGCAAACCCTAGAAGGGTTGTACTCGCTATAGAGCACCCCACTACAGGCTAGAACATGAGATAATATTCTGACACACCCCCATAGCCAAAGTGGGGTGTAATCAGCAGAGCAGGCAAAGCAGTACAAGCTCAGGGTGGATCACAATGTCACCACACAATCTGAGCACAAGTTCAAGAAGAAATAGTTTAGAGTTCACAATTATGAGCAAAGCTAGTGGTAGTCACAACGGGCAAGTGAGGAGGAGGAGAGAGAGTGAGGGGAGAGGAGATAGGAGGCGACGGCTGAAGCTGCAGACACACGGGCAACAGGAGGCAGACTGGCACAGCGGCTACCGGACTAAGCGCCCGGACTACAGGAGTAACAGGCCCCGCGGCTAAAGTAGCGGCAGACGAGCAACGGACCCACGGGCGGCTGGCGTAGAAGTCTAGCTCACTGGGCTACCGGGACAGCGCCCCGGACTACAGGTGCTGCGGACAACAGTACGGCAACCTCCATGCAGCTTCCCCAAACAGTCCCACCCCCCCGACACACACCCGCTGCTACACCGCTAGCTCCACTCCCACGCACCCTCCTTAAACCCGAAACCCCAGTCTCCCACACAACCACCCCCCTCAGCGACAGCTGCAGCAGTGGGAGACGAAGGAGGAGGAGGAGCAAAGGGAGGAATGCACACCGACCACCCCCATACCCGCCACCCCACAGCTGCCCCCGAAGGAGCCGCGACAGGCGACGGGAAAAGGGGGGGGGGGGAAGGCGGGGACGGGGCCGGGGCCGCGACGGGTAGGGCGACGGGCCGCATGTAGTGCGGCGGTAGGGCCGCAGGTAGGGCGGCTGGTGGGCCGCAGGTAGGGCGGCGAGTGGCCGCAGGTAGGGCGGCTCGCGGGCCGCAGGTAGGGCGGCGGGTGGGCCGCGAAGGTAGGGCGACGGGTGGCCGCGAAGGTAGGGCGGCGGGTGGGCCGCGAAGGTAGGGCGGCGGGCGGCCGCGAAGGTAGGGCAGCGGGGCCGCGACGGGTCCCCGTCGCCCGACGCGGCGCCTCCAGAAGGCGACGCGACGAACGACGGGGCAGACGCTCGCCGCGCGCCTCGGGGCGCACAGCGGGCAGAGAACCGCCGCGCGCCTCGGGGCGCACGGCGGGCAGAAAACCGCCGCGCGCCTCGAGGCGCACGGCGGGAAGGAAAAGTAGCAGCGGAAGTGAGGTGGTAGCCCACCCACAGGATCGATCCAAGGGGATCGACCTGCTCTGATAGCATGACAAAATTAGAAGAAAGAAAAGAGGGTTGAACTAGCAAGAATGAGGATACAAATAGCAAACCCTAGAAGGGTTGTACTCGCTATAGAGCACCCCACTACAGGCTAGAACATGAGATAATATTCTGACAAGGTCTCTGGCAAGGACACCCGGGGCCAGAGGTTGAGCAAGCTTTCTCGATGTGAAAATTGGGTAACTGCGGAGCATCAGTGTTAGCTCGGAAATAGTGGGCAGTTAGAAACAAACATTGCAAGCAAACCGCAGGAACACGATATCGCTGAGCTAACCACCAGCTGTTTCCCAGCACACACCAGCATAGTTGCGATGTGCGCGTTTTGGTGTCGCCTCGAGACGAGCTCGCGATCGCCAAGGAAAGAGCAACTTTCAGCTCGTCTCGTGACGCCTCTGCTGCCGCCATTGCGATAAGCTTTCAGCGGAAAGGTTTCCGCAGCACCGCAGCAGCCGCGGTAGCATGAGGGCGTCAGGCCCGCTCTCGAGCCGCTGCAGTGCTGCGCGCGCTCTCAACCAATAGCGAATGTCGGAGTTGCAATCATCACAGTCGTGGTGGCGACAGCAGCGACTCTCGCCCGTATCGTCGCCGTTGCCACGCTCGCCGCCACCTTCTCGTGGTGGGCTGCCATCTTCATCATCATGGCCGCCTCTAAGGCGAGTCGAATCGCCGCTGCGGCTCCTTTGCCTGCCGCCTGTCGCCGCTTGATCGGTCCCCATCTGTTTCGCGTGCAGCATCTGCGCCGGTACCTTCCGCGTGCGCTTTTCAGACAGCCCGCCACATGTTTTTTTAGACTTCTCAAAAAACATACTCGACCACATGCAGCTGGTGGGCGCAGCAGGAGTCATGCCTTTTGAGTCTGACGAGGCGCGTGGTGGGGGCTCGCGTGGCGCATGCGAGTGTTGCGTGTGAGTGAGTGTGGGCGTGGCGGCAAGGCGAGGCGATGGCGAGGCCATGCGGGTGCACCTTTCCAGCGCCGCCACTCGCGCGCCTACGGCTTCGCTTTGCCCGATGCTCGAGTTCAATGTTGCGTCGTGTGGCACGAACGACCATGCAGCCCGCACAGCCCTTGTGTATCTATCGCAGCACCGTTCTCTCACTCGTTTGCTTGAGCCTGGGCTGGTCATGACAGAACATGGGGTGCGAGTGGCAGGAGGCAGCAGACTAATGCGACTGCAGTGTGATGAGGCACCTCTCTTCGCTGCAGTGTGATGAGACGCCTCTCTTTGCTGCAGTGTGATGAGATGCCTCTCTTTGCTGCAGTGTGATGAGACGCCTCTCTTCGCTGCAGTGTGATGAGACGCCTCTCTTTGCTGCAGTGTGATGAGACACCTCTCTTTGCTGCAGTGTGATGAGACGCCTCCCTTCGTTGAAGTGTGATGAGACGCCTCCCTTCACTGCAGTGTGATTAGATGCCTCCCTTCGCTGCAGTGTGATTAGATGCCTCCCTTCGCTGCAGTGTGATTAGATGCCTCCCTTTGCTGTAGTGTGATTTGACGCCTCCCTTCGCTGTAGTGTGATGAGATGCCTCCCTTCGCTGCAGTGTGATGAGACGCCTCCGTTCACTGTAGTGTGATGAGACGCCTCCCTTCGCTGTAGTGTGATGAGACGCCTCTGTTCGCTGCAGTGTGATGAGAGGCCTCCCTTCACTGCAGTGTGATGAGACGCCTCCCTTCGCTGCAGTGTGATGAGACGCGTCCCTTCGCTGCTGTGTGATGAGACGCCTCCCTTCGCTGCAGTGTGATGAGACGCCTCTCTTCGCTGTAGTGTGATGAGACGCCTCTCTTCGCTGCAGTGTGATGAGACGCCTCTCTTCGCTGCAGTGTGATGAGACGCCTCTCTTCGTTGCAGTGTGATGAGACGCCTCTCTTCGCTGCAGTGTGATGAGACGCCTCTCTTCGCTGCAGTGTGATGAGACGCCTCTCTTCGCTGCTGTGTGATGAGACGCCTCTCTTCACTGCAGTGTGATGAGACGCCTCTCTTCGCTGCAGTGTGATGAGACGCCTCTCTTCGCTGTAGTGTGATGAGACGCCTCTCTTCGCTGCAGTGTGATGAGACGCCTCTCTTCACTGCAGTGTGATGAGACGCCTCTCTTCACTGCAGTGTGATGAGACGCCTCTCTTCGCTGCAGTGTGATGAGACGCCTCTCTTCGCTGTAGTGTGATGAGACGCCTCTCTTCGCTGCAGTGTGATGAGACGCCTCTCTTCACTGCAGTGTGATGAGACGCCTCTCTTCACTGCAGTGTGATGAGACGCCTCTCTTCACTGCACCACCCCACGACACTCCTCTGGTTGCTGATGCTTCACTGGCAAGCAGGCTGCTTCAGCAACCCGTGCCCCTGCGTGTCTGCTGTGGGCAGCGGTGCTCCGCGGGTCTGTGCCTCGGGACGTCTCACGACAGCTTAGGGGACTTCCGCACTGTGCAGGTGCGTGAGGAGCGGATGGGGATGGAAGAGCTGTGGGGATAGCAAGAGGAGAAAAGAGGGAGGGAAGGGGGGGGGGGGGGGGGGGGTGGTGAGGGAGAGAACTTGAATGGATGGGGAAGATGGCAAGGGGTTGTCAACGCATTGGGATGTGAAAGGATGGGGTAGGTAAAGTGCTGCGCTGATGTTTTTTTCGCCTTTCCTCTTCCCTCCCCCACCTCCTCTCTCTCCCCATCCATTTCCTCTCCCTCCGCCGCTCCTCCTCTCCCAACTTCCCTACTCTCTCCCTCCTCCCACTCCCCCTCAACTCTCACTCTCCCCCTACTCTCACTCCCCCCTCCTCTACTTCCCCGTCTCCCCTCACTCCACCTCTCCTCTCACTCCCCCTCTTTTCTCCCTCCCCTCTCCTCTCTCAGCGGTAGACGCGTCTGGCGTTGCAGCAGTGGGCGTGGGTTTTGGGAGCGTGGCATGTTAGAACATTATAGCTTATACATTTGTGTAGGCTGTAGTGGGGTAGCCCATAAGGGGTTCAACCCAATTAGGGTTAGTACTTGTACCCAACTGTTTCATAGTTCAATCATTCCTCACGTTCTAATCTTCACATGGTATAGAGCAAGTTCCCTAGTGGGAACGATTCCTTGGGCCCACCACTGGAAACTTTTTCTGACTGGAGCGCCAGTCGCTCCTGCCCGAGGCGCGCCTTGTGGGCCGCCCTTCTGTCGAGCTCTCGTAGAGGCCCCTCGCGCCGCCCCTAGCGGCCCCGTCGTTGCCCTTCCAGGCCCCTCGCGGCCCCTAGCGGCCCCGTTGCCGCCCCTACGCGGCCCCGTTGCCGCCCTTCCAGGCCCCTCGCGGCCCGTAGCGGCCCCGTTGCCGCCCCTACACGGCCCCGTTGCCGCCCCTCTAGGCCCCTCGCGGCCCCTAACGGCCCCGTTGCCGCCCCTACGTGGCCCCGTTGCCGCCCTTCCAGGCCTCTTGCGGCCCCTAGCGGCCCCGTTGCCGCCCCTACACGGCCCCGTCGCCGCCCTTCCACGCCCCTCGCGGCCCCTAGCGGCCCCGTTGCCGCCCCTACGCGCCCTCGGCGCTGCCCCTGGCGGCCCTGTCGCCGCCCCTAGCGGCCCCGTAGCCGCCTCCCTCCATACGCGGCCCTGATGCCGCCCCTACGCGGCCCCATCACCGCCCCTAGCGGCCTTGTCGCCGCCCCTACGCGGCCCCGTCGCCGCCCCACGCGGCCCGGTCGCCCCTCCCTTCCCTACGCGGCCCCGTCGCCGCCCCTACGCGGCCCCGTCGCCACCCCTACGCGGCCCCTTCGCCGCCCCTAGCGGCCTCGTCGCCGCTCCCTTCCCTACGCGGCCCCGTCGCCGCCCCTAGCGGCCCCGTCGCCGCTCTCTTCCCTATGCGGCCCCGTCGCCGCCCCTACGCGGTCCAACAGCCGCCCTTAGCGGCCCCGACGCCACCCCTACACGGCCACGTTGCCGCCCCTAGTAGCCCCGTCGCCGCTCCTCTTCATACGCGGCCACGTCGCCGCCCCTAGCGGCCTCGTCGCTGCCCCTTCCCAGCCCCGTCGCCGCCCCTGGTGGGCAGCCGAGCCGCCGAGCCGCCCAGCAGCAGAAGCCGCCCCTGGAGCAACCCCCACAGCAGCAGCCGCCCCTGGAGCAGCCGCCACTACAGCAGCCGCCCCTGGAGCAGCCGCCACTGCAGCAGCCGCCCCTGGAGCAGCCACCACAGCAGCAGCCGCCCCTGGAGCAGCATTCACTGCTGCAGCCGCCCTTGGAGCAGCCGGCACTGCAGCAGCCGCCCCTGGAGCAGCCGCCACTACAGCAGCCGCCCCTGGGGCAGCCGTCACTGCAGCAGCCGCCCCTGGAGCAGCCGCCACTGCAGCAGCCGCCCCTGGAGCAGCCGCCACTGCAGCAGCCGCCCTTGGAGCAGCCGCCACTGCAGCAGCCGCCCCTGGAGCAGCCGTCACTGCAGCAGCCGCCCCTGGAGCAGCCGCCACTGCAGCAGCCGCCCCTGGAGCAGCCGCCGCTGCAGCAGTCGCCCCTGGAGCAGCCGCCACTGCAGCAGCCGCCCCTGGAGCAGCCGCCACTGCAGCAGCCGCCTCTAGAGTAGCCGCCACTGCAGCAGCCGTGGAGCTCTTGCTCAACAGTGGTAGTGGCGTCGCCGTCGCCGCCGTCGTCTGCCTGCCCTTCTCGCCACTGGTGAGCACTGCCCTGCCCGTACTGCTGTTACTAGTGCACTTACTACTGCTGCTCCTGGCGTGGCCAGATGCAGCTCCAGCATTGCTCGCGTGAGTCCCTCACCCCCCAACAACTTTGTGAGTGATGCGCTAGTTGGGGTTGTCGGGGTGGCCGTAGTGGGAGTCGTCCTGGAGTGAGTGGTTCGGCGGCTACTTGTACTGACCAGGTGCAGCCTCAGCGTCGTCAGCGAGTGGTCCTCTCGCCCCAGCAGCTTCATGAGTGGTACGCGCAGCGTGAGGAGTCACGGGGTACTGCTCGCTGTCCGTACGTCATTCGCACTGGTGCTCGGACCGGTCAGCCTTGCGGGACGTTCGGTTACGCACCGTCCCACTGCTTCGACCGTCTGAGCGACGCCTGGCGTACGGATTTTGGTGACGCGGCTGAGCTCTTCGACTGGGTGGAGCTGCTTCGGCTGCGGGTAGATATCTTTTCTCTTGACTATGATGCTATCCTCACTGCCATGTATGCATTGCCTACTAGTGATGAGGGTGATTGTTACCTGTGTGTTCCGCCTGGCCCGGGCATTGAGGTTCCTACTCTAGGTGCTGGTGAGGCTGCTGCTCTAGGTGCTAGTGCGTCTGCTGCCCCTAGTGCAAGTGCGTCTGCTGCCCCAGGTGCCAGTGCGTCTGCTGCCCCAGGTGCTGGTGAGTCTGCTCTCTCAGGTACCACGTCGGCTCAGGCCTTCCACACCTTCACCCTTGAGTCGGGTGCGTCCCGCTCTTTCTTTCGAGACTACACCACTCTTACGCCGCTTAGTCGGCCGGTTGCAGTCTCCCTGGCAGACCCCTCTGGGGGTCCTGACCTTGCTAGCTTCTCCACTGTCTTACCGCGCCCGGCAGCCCCCTCTGGCACCCTGTCAGGTCTCTACCTCCCCTCGTTCTCTACGAACTTGGTGACTGGAGCAGACCTACAGGATAGGGGGGTTGACCAGTTCACTCCTGCAAGTCAGCGAGTGACCCACTGCACGTGTGCTCGGACAGGCCGACACTTGGCCACGTTCACCCGTCGGCAAGGGTCGAGCCTGTACACCCTTAATACTGAGTCTCCTCCAGCTGCTAAGTCTGCCCAGGTAGCTGCGTCGAGTCAGGTGTTTGCTGCAGCGTCCAGGTCTGGTCTTGAGTGTGCTCCCTGCTCATGTCGTCTGCTGTCCCACCAGACTCTCCTTTGGCACCACCGCCTTGGTCACCCCTCCCTGCCTCGTCTTCGAGGCATGGCCTCCCGTGTCCTTGTCTCTGGTCTCCCTCGGTCTCTCCCTCCCCTACCTCCGGGGCCTGTCCCTACCTGCGTCCCTTGCGTCGAGGGGCGATAGCGCGCCGCCCCTCACTCCTCCGAGTTTCCTCCGACAGAGGCTCCGCTGCAGACTCTCCACATAGACGTGTGGGGCCCAGCCTGCGTCAGTGGGCAGGGGCGCGAGCGGTACTTCCTGCTGGTGGTTGACGACTACTCGCGTTACACCACAGTCTTCCCCTTGCGCAGCAAGGGTGACGTCACTGAGATGTTGATCGACTGGATCCGCGCAGCTCGTCTCCAACTCAGAGAGAGTTTTGGCTCGGACTTTCCTGTTCTGCGTCTGCACTCGGACAGAGGCGGGGAGTTTTCCTCTGCCCGTCTGGGAGCCTTCTGTCGGGCACAGGGCATCCGCCAGACCTTCACGTTTCCGGCCTCTCCACAGCAAAATGGGATTGCAGCGCGCCGCATTGGCATGGTCATGGTCGTCGCTCGTACGTCCATGATGCATGCGGCTGCCCCCCATTTTCTGTGGCCGTTTGCGGTTCAGTACGCCGCGCATCAGCTCAACCTTCAGCCCCGGGTCTCCTCGCCAGAGACCTCCCCCGCCTTGCGGTGGATCGGGGAAGGTTGGCGATGCGTATGCGTTTTGGGTATGGGGATCTTGGGCGTTTGTCCGTGACTTGTCTGCGGACAAGCTGTCCCCTCGTGCTGTTCCCTGCGTCTTCCTTGGCTTCCCCCCTGACGCGCCTGGCTGGCAGTTTTACCACCCCACCTCGCGCCGTTATCTGTCCTCCTAGGACGTCAACTTTCACGAGTCAGTACCTTACTACCGTCTCTTCCCCTACCACACTGCGCATCTCCCCCCGCCGCCACTCTTCCTTGCACCAGGTCCTCCCCCTGTAGACCCCCTCCCCCCTCAGGGTCCTGCCCCGTCAGGTGTGTCCCAGGTAGACGCGTTCGAGCCTGTCGAGGTTGCTGTTGACTCTGGTGCTGCTAGAGGTGCTGAGCCTACGGGTGCCGGGTCTGGGGGTGCTGAGCCTGGGGGTGCTGAGACTGGGGGTGCTGAGTCTGGGGGTGCTGAGACACGGGGTGCGGAGCCTAGGGGTGCGGAGCCTGGAGGCGCGGAGCCTGGGGGTGCTGGATCTGCTCGTGTGGCCGCCGGCGGTGCTTCGTCGAGGCAGGAGCCGCTCTCTCCGCAGGAGCTGCGCGAGTGGTTTGCCCGTAGCTGGAGACGTGCTGCTGCGATTGGAGGTGCTGTTGGAGCTACTGGAGTTGGTCCTACTGGAGGTGCTGGCGGTGCTGGTGCTGCTGGAGCTGGAGCTGCTGAGGGTGTTGGCGCTGGTGTTTCTACTGGTGCTGGTGCGTCTGGGGGTGCTGTTGAGGCTGCTGGTGCTGACGGTCCTACTGGAGTTGGCGCTGCTGGAGCTGGAGCTACTGGGGGTGTTGGCGCTGGCGGTGCTGCTGGCGGTGGTGCTTCAGAGGGTGCTGGAATTGGCACAGTTGGAGCTGGAGGTGTCAAAGAGAGTAGGAGCACGGCCTAGGCTTAATAGCCTAGGCCACAATTGGACTAGAGCGAGGAGGCGCCAAGTACGAGCTAGGATTGTGTGCAGGAATAGAATTGAGAAGGAGAATGATTGAACTAGCAAGCAGCACGATACAAATAGCAAACCCTAAGGGGCTGTACTCACTATTGAGTGCCCCACTGCAGGCTACACAAAAAACATATTCTGACAGGTGGTGCTACTGGCGCTGGTGCTGCCGCTGGGGGTACTGGTGCCGTCCTTGCTGGTTCTAGAGGCGCTGAGCGGCCGAGGCCGTACTTCGTTCCGCTCATGGAGCAGGTTCTTGGTCTCCCGCCCTCTCCTAGTCCTACTCCTTCCTTAGAGTGTCCACAGCCTGTCCAGTCGCAGTCACAGTTACAGTCCGCCTCCCCGCTACCTACTCCTTCTCCCTACACTGGTCCTACTGGAGGTCTTGCTGAGCGTCGTGAGCCTGCGTCTCGTCCCGCGTC